CTTCTTAACCGAATTAGTTTTCTCGTTTTTCAGACTCACATGAAGCTGTGCTGCGCTTCAACGCTGCGCCCACCACCGGGTACGAGAAGGACGTCGGGTCCAAAACCACCATCCGCCTCATCAACTCACAGGTGGGCACAGAAACAGGTGGTGACAGCTGAGCTGAGAGGAAGTGCTTCACTGCAAACGAGACAGACGTGGTGATAATAAGACGAGAATCCAAAGATCGTCTGCGCGTTGATTTTTAATCTGCGGCCAGTTTTATACGATAATTTTCTCTGTCACACTTATTAACTTGTGTTCTTCTGATTGGTTGCCCCTCATAAGCAAAATATTTCAACAGTAGATCTGATTGAGATCCCCCTCTGTGACATCACAGAGATCCAAGAGGAGAAAAACTGTGTGAAACGAAGCGTTTAGGCTGATTTTGGCCTGATTGTTAGAAACCTGGGTGTCTAATATCAACACAACAATGTGACAGAAATAATGTTAATTGTTTTTATTTTTTAATAACTTTTCCATACAACACGTGCAGCTTTGTTATCTAAATCACTTTGTTTAGTGTGTGAGAGCGTTCGGCTCTCCGCCACAGTTTGGAGTAAAGTCGAGTTTGTAACGACGCTGCAGGCGATGGTCGCGCTGAAGAGGTCGAGTTTGCAGATGGGCTGTGGGCGTTTCAGTGCAGAGCAGCTGCCTGTGGCTGTTTTTAGATGCTTTTATGTGAGAACACCTCGCTGTGAGGATCTGCAGAATGCTTCTGAATACGGCAAAGTCAAAACTTGACTGAGTGGATTTGGATTAATCAGTAGAACCAGAGAATTTAGCTGCTCGGTTTTCACAGCTTTTCATTTTTTAAAGAGTTTTAAAAGTCATGTTTCATTTATTAAAGCTTGTGCGACGCGGCTCGCTAAGCGACGTGTGTCAGTGTGCTTTTTCTCTGAATCTTTACAGGTGATGGCGTCTGATGACCACCGCTTCCTGTCCAGTTCTCTGTACAGCTCAGGTGTTCTGGTGGCCTGGGACCCCGCCCCCTTCTCTGCAGATCTCACAAAGGTGATGTGTTTGGATTTAAGCTAGAAGCCCTGTCACAACCAGCGTGCGTTTAATAACTTTTGTTAAATTGTTCAAATTAAGTGTAGAATTTTTGTCAAATAAGAGACACATTTATTCAAGTTTTCCTCCTACGGCTCCGTCGGGTGCACATATTCATGCACACGCTTGTATTAATCAGTTTGTGGTTTCTTTGGACATTTGTGGATTTTAGACTAACATGGACGAGCACAGGTAAACATGATGGTGTGTCTGACTGCAAGAATTCTGTTTGGAAAATGTCACGTTTGTGCAAAAACAGTGGAACATACAACATAACTTTGCTGTGCACACAGTCGATACCTGCATCTGTATTTGAGTCTAATAGGCCACACCCCTAATAAATAAAATGTAAAGCTTTATGACGGGAAGATTCTACGGAGCCCCCCAGGGGACATGGGAGAAAAAAAAATTAGGGAGAAAAAAAAAAAATTAGGGATAAAAAAAAAATAAGACGGACTTTTGCGAGATCTCGCAAAAGTATTGCGAGCGCTCGCAAAAGCATTGCGAGATCTCGCAAAAGTATTGCGAGCGCTCGCAAAAGTATTGCGAGATCTCGCAAAAGTTTTAGCCGCATTCTTCGAGCTAGTGGCCGCCAGCTCGAAGCCGACCGGGAGGTCGAGGCACGATGTGCCGGGAAAGCGGTGTTCCTCCCGGCTGTAGTAGGTCTCGACCTCCCGTTAGCTTCGAGCTAGTGGGTGTCAGATCTCCAAAAACGTCGGAGCTCTTTTGCAAATATGTGATGTCTTGTAAACCGAGCAGGTATCTGACGTTTACACAACTACATTCACGCCTCAAAATATCTTAAAAGTGTATTTTGTGACCCAGAAAGAGTAATATTACAACTAAGTAGCTGCCGCCATTGTTGGAGTTTTGCGAGATCTCGCAATACTTTTGCGAGCGCTCGCAATACTTTTGCGAGATCTCGCAATACTTTTCGAGATCTCGCAATACTATGCGAGATAATATACTTATAACTTTGCTGTGCACACAGTCGATACCTGCATCTGTATTTGAGTCTAATAGGCCACGCCCCTAATAAATAAAATGTAATGTCCCCTGGGGGGCTCCGTAAGATTCACTCCAGGGCAAAGCCAAACATTTTAACACGAGTCTGTGGGGACTGGCTCACTGCTGGGACCTCTAGTGGACACTTGAGGGACTGCAGGTTGTGGCTCTTGCGCACTGGCTTCTTTTCAGAATCAGAATCGTGTTTATTGGCCAAGTATATGTGCAGACACATACAAGGCATTTGGTTTGGGTAGATGGAGGCTCTCAAGCACAGCAATGTAAATCACACACACGTGTCTATATACACACATTACACAAAGCTGTGTAAACCAACTATAAATAACTAATCTAAACTTATATACATAGAATACAGAGATGAGGTGGAATGAATACTACAGAATGTGGTAGGTGCAGAAGGTGCAGTTGCAGTCTGGCAGTGGGAGCAGTGTGACAGGTCAACTGTTTAGGAGGGAGATGGCGAGGGGAAAGAAACTGTTCCTGTGTCGGGTGGTCCTGGTCTGCAGGCTTTTCTCAGGAGCTTAAAGGTTGACATGATGAAGTGTTCCCCTCGTGGATGCACAGAGCGTGGAGCCGGTCTGACTCTGCGCTGCAGGGAAACTGAACGAGTCGTCAGTAAATCCAGTTACCAGCAGGAACAACTGCTGGTTCTCCAGCTTCAGAAGCCGTTTCTCTGATGCATAATTCATGTGTTTATCCTGAGAGGACACGTCTACCACCACAGAGGATTTCTTCTGCTCTTTGTTTTTATTCCTGGACTCCACTCGAGTAACCTGGCACGATTAAAACCCAGTGGACAAAAGACGTCATTTATCTTGTGCTGCTCCTTTATGCAGCCCAGCTGGTCTGCTCTCAATGCATCTTGTCTGTTGTCCCTTTAAATGGAGACTCTTTCGTTACTGGAAGCTGCATAAAGGACAACTCTGACATTTAGGCCTCAGTCCAGCAGTGGGACTGAAAGATTTGCACATGAAGGACACTCCAAACAGCGGGGGGGCCCTGGCCCTTCTTTTCCTCTCCGAAGCCGCCGCCCCCTACATTATCTCTGCAGCCTTTATGTGGTAGAAAAGTCATGATCCCAGTGAGATTCTCAGGGTCTGAGCTTTTAAGTTTCTGGTTTATTTGAGCTGCTGTTTTCAGCATTTTTGTGATGTTTGTATTTATGCAGTTTATCGGTTCCTCTCACGTCTTTGTTCCCCTGTTTTCAGTTATGGTTGCTCACTTTCTGTTCTAAAACATCCCTCGGTCACTAACTAGTTAACGTCCTGTTTCTGCAGCCTGCACAGAGCGTCTCCCTGATAACTCAGTCAAAGGGAAGCATCAGTAAAACAAAGACTGAAGCAGCAGGATTGGTGCTGATACTGAATGTATTTTGAGGTGTCAGTTAAAACTCATACCTGTATGCCCCTCCCCCCCCGCAGTGGTTCAACAGGACTGATTACCCCATCTTCGCCCAGTACCAGAGGTACAGGAGGCTCCACCCTCTGCAGCCCTTCTACATCCTGCATCCTCGCTTTGAGTGGCAGATCTGGCAGCGAATACAGGACAACATGGCCGAGCCCATCCAGAAGAACCCGCCCTCCTCCGGCATGCTCGGTATGGTTTTCTCTCACTTCCTGTTTATGCTACAAACTGCCTTCATAACACACGTGGGGCAGAAATCTGAAACAAAACATGTACTGAATACTCGTTAAAATATAAACTCAGAGGTCACTAATGTTCAAGTCCTGTGTGCGTTTAGATATCAGATGTTTGTGTCTGCGACCTGATTGGCTGCATCGATCGTGTGTTGTTTGTTTTCTGTAAATGTCTCCTGGTCCAATCACGATCTTCTGAAAGAACGTTTGTGTGACAGCTGCTTATTGGTCCAGGCCGATCCGCTGATCGATGAGGCATCATCCGCCTCACTCCTTTGATCTCTCTGCACCGCCCGTCTCAGCCTTCAGCTTCACCTCAGAGTCTGCGCACCAGGCGAACTCTGCAGGAGCGATAATGAGGCGCCCAGCGATGTCACATCGCCGGCGTGCGCTGTGGGCGGAGAACAGCGAGCATAATAACACGGAACGAAGAAAGACTGAAATCTGCTTCAGGAAACTTTGCCCTCTTCATGACGCTGTCGTTAGAGCGTCATGTGACGAACCGACACACGTTTGTTTTTTCCTGGCTTCTTTTTTTGGTACTTTAAATGTATAGAAACGACTCCGCAGGCTGCAGGAAAAAGATCTAGTTTGATTTTAGGGGTGAAACGTCCCTTTAAGGTTGAACGCATATATACAAACTCCTCTGTGTCTTCTGTCAGTTGTCTTCCTGTTTTATTTTGAAAGTCTGTTCCTCGCGGTGTTTTGAGTGAGTTCAGCTGTACCTGCCGGGAGTCTTTTTACTCCTCGTCCTTCCCCTCAGTCTCAGTTTGGTTTCTTTGTAGCCGAGCACGACTCCTGATTTTCATATTTCTCTCTCTCCTCCAACGTCCTCCGTTCATGTCACGAATTTCACAAATGCAGGATCTGATTTGTAACTGGAGCTCCGCCTCCTTTGGTGTCTGATATTAGAGCCTCAGTTCATTATCTACATCTCTCCTCCAGGATCATCAGACAGGAAGTAGATCTGTTACACAGAAGTGATTATATGTAATGAGAAGGTTGTTTCTGCAGCATGTGTGCGGGCCGTGGAGGACGTGAACATGTTGGCGGACCTACAGTGCGTAGGCAGCTGTGCTGTTCGTTACACAACTGAGGACAAAGCTGTGGGCTGGATGAAGAACACATGAAGGCTTCATGTTTGTAGATGTTGCTCCAAAGTGAGGATCAGTCCTAACCAGCGCTGGGCCACATGGGCAGAAATGATATTTAGTCTGAAAGACGTCTTTGTTTCCAGGATTTCAAATGAAATCCTTTTCACTCAGTTGGGAATATTCTGTGTCAGGTTTCATGTCCTCCTGTGACCTTCTGTGGTTCTGGTTATTCGATTTTATTTGATTTATATAAGCACAACAGAGGAAGCACCAAACTGTCTGAAAAGCTCTGCAAAGTGTCCTCATGCCCTCTGCTTCCTGTCCAGGCACCGTCCTGATGATGTCGCTGTGCGAGGTGGTGCACGTGTACGAATTCCTGCCGTCCCGGAGGAAGACGGAGCTCTGCCATTACTACCAGCGTTTCTACGACGCCGCCTGCACGCTGGGCGCCTACCACCCACTGCTGTACGAGAAGAACCTGGTTAAGCGCATGAACCAGGGCTCCGACCGCGACATCTACACCAACGGACGCGTCACGCTGCCCGGCTTCAGGAAGCTGAACTGCAGCCAGACTGCTGGAGGAGACCGCTGACTGCATCAACGCACAAATCTGAGTCCTGCATGAAGATGAGCCGACGCATGCAAACCTCATCCTCACTACCGAACCACAAAGAGCGCTCTATAAATATTTCATGCTGTTAACACACACACTGGAGTCCGATCAGCTCATACATGTGCTGCTGTACACACATCCCTGTGAGGTCATTGGCGCGTGATCACTGGATGCTTCTTAGTTGCCCAAATTTTGATGTTCATGTTGACCTTAGAGGATAATTCTGGTGGTTTTCAAGGAATCTCAGTGATTGCCTTTAACTCAGGGGTGGGGAACTCCAGGCCTCAGGGGCCGGCGTCCTGCGGGTTTTAGATCTCACCCTGGGCCAACACACCTGAATCACATGATTAGTTCATTGATAGGCCTCTGGAGAACTTCAAGATATGATGAGGTCATTTAACCACTTAGATCAGCTGTGTTGGATCAAGGACACATAACCTGCAGGACACCGGCCCTCGAGGCCTGGAGTTTCCCACCCCTGCTATAACTGCGAGGTGGAGAGCGTACGAGTGAGTGACAGACCACCAAAAATGTCCTCTGATCAAAAAGTGCATATTAATATGTTCCAGGACAGATTCCCTGACATCCAGCCTGTTTTGAGGGGTCCAAAATCATTTCTTCCTGAAGTTAAAAAGCAGATAAAATCAAAAATTTAGCAAACTGGGTCATAAATATCAGTCGTGCGCAGGTCCAGCGACACCGTCTCTGCTTGTGTGTTTGTGTTCTGGTTTCTTGTTCAGGCAGCAGGAGGCCGCTGTGCCTGTGTGTGATTACATACGTGATGCTTACACACCTCACTGAACCCGTTTATTGAAGAAGATACTGCCTGCAGATGAGTTTACTTCTAACTTAACCCAAAAGGTCACTTCGTAGGTTTTTTACACACTTTGTGAGTCCTGCCATTTCCAGTAATCTTTTTGTAATCCTCACGTAGTGTAAATATTATGAAAGTATTATAGGAGGAGGGTCTTTACTGTGATATCAGCATTTGATTTTTCTCCAACGTAAAAGCCCCACTCGGTTTATATGGACATGCTAACTGATATTTTATTTGCAGTATTTGTTTCTTCAGTCCGTGACACACTGAGCTCGTGGCAAAAACATGACACAAAATCCAAACTT